TCCTGCGCGTTTATGCTCGTCTCAAGTCCACCGCCAAGGCGCTGCAAAGCTGGAGTGCGCGCCACATTGGTCATGTGGCACTTCAGCTGTCCGTGGCCCGTGAGCTTATTGCGCGGTTGGACTTGGCATAGGACTTCCGGCCGCTGCTTCCCGCCGAGGCTTGGCTCCGGCGTCATCTTAAGTCAGCCTACCTTGGGCTGGCGTCCCTCGATCGGTCCATTGCGTGCCAGCGTGTCCGCTGCTCCTGGCTTCAGGCAGGCGAGACCAACACCGCCTTCCTCCGGGTGCGAGCGGCGCACCGGAAGCAACGCTCAAGGATCCTTTCGTTGCATGTGAACGGCCAGGAATTATCGGACCATGGGGACATGTCTGAGGTAATCTACAACCACTTCTTGGCTGCGCTGGGTACTCCTGACTCCCGTGCGATCACCCTGGACCTTGATAGCTTAGATCCTCGCACCTTCGACTTGGCTGGCCTGGATGCCCCGTTCTCTGAGGACGAGATCTAGACAGCGATCAAGTCGCTGCCGTCCGGCAAGTCGCCCGGGCCTGATGGTTTTTCTGTGGAGTTTCTCTGCGCGTGCTGGGATATCATCAAGCCAGATATATGTGCCCTGTTCGCCAAGATCTACTCCCTCAATGGCAGGGGTTTTCAGAAGCTCGATGAGGCTTTCGTCACGTTGCTCCCCAAGCGCCCTGACGCGGCCTGCATTGCGGACTACCGCCCCATCAGCCTCATTCACATCATCGCCAAGCTTTTGGCCAAGGTCCTCTCCCTGCGCCTCGCCCCGCGCCTTGGCGACATGATCTCGATGAACCAGAGCGCCTTCATCTCCGGGATATGCATTCATGATAACTTCCTCCTCGTGCAGCAAATGGCGCGCCGCCTCCATAACCTCAAGCTGTCCCGCGTCATGCTCAAATTGGACATTGCCCGCGCGTTTGACTCAGTCTCCTGACCCTTCCTCCTCGACATCCTGCGACATCTGGGTTTTGGACCGCGGTGGAGGGAGTGGATCTTCATCCTCCTCGGCACGACAAGTACACAGGTCCTCCTCAACGGTTGCGCCGCCCCCCCTATTGCGCACCACAAGGGGCTACGTCAAGGCGACCCGGTTTCCCCCATGCTTTTTGTGCTGGTCATTGACGTCCTGGATCTGCTCCTCCAGCGGGTTGTCGCCGACGGTGTCCTACGACGCCTTACCCCACGCCACATGGCATCCGACATTTCCCTTTATGCTGATGATGTCGTCGTCTTCTGCCATCCGGACGAGCACGGCCTTGCCGTGGTCTGCGAGCTCCTTCGTGTGTATGGCGCTGCCTCAGGCCTCCACACGAACTTTGCGAAGTGCTCTGCTTCCCCGATCCAGTGCTCCCCGGAGGACCGCGACGCTATCCATCGCGGCCTTGCCTGCCCGATCATGGATTTCCCTACCAAATACCTTGGCCTCCCCCTTTCTATCAGGAAGATCTCCTCCGCCGCGCTCCAACCCTTTATCAACAAGCTCGAACGCAAGCTATCGCCTTGGTGGGCATCCTTGCTCTCCAGAGGCGAGAGGCTGGTGCTTGCTCTCCATGTCCTAGGGGCCATGCCGCTGCACATCATGATGGCCATGGCTCTCACCCCTCCCATCCTCAAGCAACTAAACCGGTTGGTCCTCTCCTTCCTCTGGAGCGGACGCAAGGACGCCAACGGAGGCCACTGTCTCGTCAATTGGAGCACGGTCTGTCGCCCTATCTCGCTCGGAGGCCTTGGCTCCCTGACTTCCAGCGTGCCGGGATCGCGCTCCAGACTCGTTGGCTTTGGCTCCAAGCTACAGATCATTCCCGGCCTTGGCAGCACCTGCACATGCCGAGATGCATTGAGACCCAGGCCATTTTCCGTGCTTCCATGTCGTGGGCCCTCGGAGAGGGCCGCTCCTGCCGCTTCTGGGTTGACCACTGGCTCGATGGCAAGTCTATCGCGGAGCTCGCCCCGCTTATCTTCGACAAGGTGTCGCGTCGTCGATGCAAGATCCCTTCGGTCCGCGATGCTCTTGCCGATCGCTCCTGGGTGTGGGACATCTCTGGGGCCTTGGAGCCGGCGGCTCTAGTGTAGTACGTTCACCTATGGCAGTGGCTGCGTCAGGTTACCCTCTCGAGCACCCCAGACTCCCTCTCGTGGCGATGGACTATGAATGGTGCATATTCTGCGAACTCCTGCTACAGCGCCATGTTCTTCGGCTCCATTGAGCTCCCTCGCTGGCGGCTCATCTGGCGCCCCTGGGCCCCTCTTCTGGTGAAGATCTTCTTCTGGCTCGCGCTCAGGGATCGGTGCTGGACGGTGGAGCGCCTTGCCAGGCACGGCCTCCCCCATGGTTCCGTTTGCCTCCTCTGCGACCAGGCCACGAAAACCATGGCTCACCTCCTCTCGGGCTGTCCATTCCCTAGACAGGTTTGGCACGACTCCCTCGCTTGGTGTCGGCTGGTGGCTTCCGCCCCAACTGCGGACACCCCATTCATCGATTGGCTGGCCGCTTCGGCTGCCATCACGCCTACTTGCCTGCGACATGGCTTCAACACCCTGGCCTTACTCATCGCATGGGAAATCTGGAAGCAACGCAACGCATGCGTCTTCGACGCCGCCCGGCCTTCCATCTCTAAGACCGTGGCGACAATCAGGGAGGAAGCCCGTGGCTGGGCTCATGCGGGTGCCCGAGGACTCGGCCT